AAATGAATATTAGTTTGTAATTTCTTGACATTTATGCTTATGTGACATTTAGTTTTCTCTGCATTGAATAAATTGTGATGAATGTTATAAGTGGTTGTTTTTGGTTTTTATATCTAGACTAGACTAGAAGGCAGTGATGGTTTCTTATACTTGTGGCTTTTTTTCTTGTCGGCTTGTATAGTGATATGAATTGAGCCCGTTTAGCATTGCGCGGGATCTTAACCGAGGTACATGTCAATTGATGTTTTGATATGTCAATCTCTTTCAAAATTATCTCATCTCTTTGATGATATTGGGACATAATTGGCTCCAATTTTGGCTATTCATAGAGGATAAATGCTAGGAACAATCTCTTCAACACTCTTCTTTGAACGCCTTCCACATGGTTGGGTCATGTGTCAATTTCAAAGTTGCTCTAACAGATAGTGCATTCAAGAAGCCTTCTGTTTTTTTTTGTCAGCTGTAAGTTTAATGCGATTTTGTTTCTTTATCTGAATTGTCACCAAGCTGCTTATTCTTTTCATTCTTATTTCCTTTGTGGCAGTTCTGGTGGGCTTGAGGAATTTCCTCTGTTATCGATAATAGATGATGAAACTTTCTATATTTGTTGAAGCAGTATATCAGAGCATATTTTTGTTGCAGGCCTTTACAGGTAGTCAGAATGTTTCTAGTCTACAAAAGGAGGAAGCTTGGAGAGCTAATGTGCACTTACAAGGATGTGACCTCTAACGTGGGTATCTATGTGGCACCATGGAAGCTTTAAATCTTCTTATGGATGACACACCAGTAAGATGGTTTCTTCCGGGCAACAACCTCTTGGTCCTCTGTATAAACTTCTGTATTATTACAATATCCAGAATATGTACACTATATGCTTCGAATCCTCTACTATGAACATAGTTAAAGTGGTCGAAATAATACATAATAGGTACAGTTTATATCATAGCTTGTGGATAAAGTTTTTCTTCTTTCATATGTTGATCACAAACACTGATGTTATGTGTAATGTTAAGCAGAAATATGTTGCTTGCCAAATTTCTTTCTGACAACTTTTAACAATTTTGTAGTCTTTGCAATGTTTCTCAGGTTGTGACCATCTGGGAAGGGGAGATTGTTGATATGAAGAACTGCACTTTCTACAGTGGCAAATGGGAAACAATGTATGCCTATTTCTTCTTTCTTTTACTTTTGATCATTAAGCCTCTTTGACGACAACCTTGCCCTATTGATCTCAGTTTATTCTTTCCATGGAGGTTGAAAACATTTGAAACAATCCACTTCCCCTATTTAATCAGATTAAAAAGGTTTTAATAGGCCAGAGGATGATATACGGCAGTGGACTAAGTTTCCATCTTTTGCACCCCTCTTTTTTTTTTTTTTTGGTTTCCCGCCCGGTATCAGGGGCTTCGCCCCTACTACTCCGGACTCGACCAGCTGTGACGCACCAGAATGGTGGGTGGGTTTCCCAACGAAGGTTGCTGCGTACAAAGGTTTCGAACTCGAGACCTTGCTTGAGAGGTTTGCACCCCTCTTGGTAATGATGAGCTGCAACCAAGAACTTCAACTTTGCATGCAAACCTATGCTGGCTTGCTTGCTTTATTCTTTTCAGAGTGCAGTGGAAGTTGATGGTGGGAAATCTTTGGACCTGAGTAAACTATCCACATATTTTTATGGTAATTTGATCTTGTTATTTCCAGCATTGATAAAAGGAATTATTTAAGGGTAATTTTGTATTTCTGTGATTTTTTGTTAGAGATGGAAAGAGCAATACTTTGTAAATGTTGGAACAGACTGTGGTTATAGCAGGGTTTTAAGTATAATGTATAGTTCTCTTGCAGGGAGGGCTTCATTAATGGTTTTTACTATGATCCTAATAGCAGGCATATATATTTCATCGTAGACTTTGACATTCTTGAAATTATTTTGATTATTCAAAATTTCAAACTCCCTTCTTAGCAAAAGGAGGAATACTCATAATGAGAGAAGCTTATTACATTGTCTAAAGACTCTAAACAAGAGTATAACATATTTGGTAACAACTATAAAGATCAAAACACAAATAAAAGACAAAAGTTTAAGATTCATCGTCTTCCTGAAAGTAGGGATTCTGCAATTGATGAAGAGGAATGCGTGTATACTTTACCCGTGGAAAACGTATAGGACGTGGCAAAGTCATCAAAACCTTCACCATGGGCAAATGTTAGGCCATTGGCAGTCAGACCTAGTGCTGATAAGCCCAGTAAAGGAATATCCCCTTCTAAGTACTGGACCACTCGGCGCATGCTCTGCCTGGCTGTGGGGTTTGAATGCGAACAGAGCGGCCCCAGCTTCAGTACCAATTCCACTTCCTTTGCAACAAAATCCGTCCCTAATTTTGGATCTTTGACCCCAAGAATCTCCCCTCTTTGCCAGAACGAAAACACCAGATCAACCAGAATCAAATCATCTGTTTCAGCTCGTGGCTCAAGCGGCCTTCTTCCACAGGCAACTTCTAGCAAAAGTGCACCAAAAGCAAACACATCTGTGCTGGTTGTGGCCTTCCCTGTTCGGGTGTGCTTGTTAAAAACCAAGGAATTCCAAAGAAGAAGAAAATGGAATGGGAATCAAATTCACGTTAAAATGAAAATAACTAGCATTTAAATAGGCTTTACAAGATAACATTATCTAAAAAGATAATTAACCAATCTTATCTAATCTAATTTAAATTATAACAATCTAAAACAAATAAATAACTTAAACTTCCTAAATTATAGAGATCATGGCTAAATAATAGGATTTAATTTCCAACAATCCCTTCTTTAAACTGAAAGTCTTTATATTTCAATTTAGAGGAATCTGGAAAACACTATGTCAGCACTCTGGAATCTGCAAACCCTCCCTCAAATTGAATTCTGCATACTGCAAACACCAAGTAACTCTCTCAGTTTTGAAAAAGCTGCCACTTTAAAGGGTTTTGTGAATATATCAGTCACTTGATCTCCTGTTCTACAATAAGTCAACTCAATTGCTCCATCTTCTACCAAGTTGCGCAATAAATGATACCTCACATGTATATGCTTGCTTCTCCCATGCAAAAAAGCTTGATAGTTGAACTGTTATCACAATAAATTGAAGTGGCCTCATGTTGATCCATCTCAACTTCTTTCAGAATTCTTCTCAACCAAATAGCTTGACAAGCACAAGAAGTTGCTGCCACATACCTTGCTTTTGTTGTGGACAAAGTCACAATGGGCTGCTTCTTTGAAGACCATGAAACAACACCAGATCCCAACATGAAAACATACCCAGAAGTGCTTTTTCTATCATCCAAATTTCCAGCATAATCATTGTTTGTAAAACCTACGAGATTTGTCTGGTCACCCTTCTTGTAGAATAGTCCAAAATCCGCAATTCCACATAAATACCTGAGAATTCTTTTTGCAGCTTGCAACTGCAACTCCTTTGGGTGCTCCATATATCTGCTGATTAGACTTACACCATGCATTGTATTTGGTCTTGTTGTTGTCAAATACATCAAACTTCCAACAATCTACTTATACAATTTGTTGTCCACAGATTTGCTACCTAGATCTTTTATAAGCTTCACTCCTTTGTCAATTGGTGTAGTGACAGAATTACAGTTCTTCATTTCAAATCTATCTAGAACTTCTTGCACATATTTTTTCTGACAAAAAAAAATTTCAGAATCTGACTGTACTACTTCTAGACCAAGAAAATAATGCAACAAACCCAAATTTGTCATATCAAATTCAAGCTTCATGGATTGTTTGAACTTTTTCAACATGCCAAGATCATTCCTAGTATAAATTAAATCATCAACATATAAGCATACTATAATCAATTTACCTCCATCTCCAAATTTGATGTAAAGTGTATGCTCATAAAGGTACTTTTGAAAACCTTCCTTCAAGAAATAAGCATCAATATGACTATGCCAAGCTCTAGGTGCTTGTTTTAATCCATATAATGCTTTCTTCAATTTGTAAACCTTATGCTCAAAACTAGGTTTCACATAACCAGGAGGTTAATCAATAAATACCTGTTCTTGCATATCTTTATGCAAGAAGGCCGATTTCACATCAAGCTGGTAAATTGGCCCTGAGTTCTGTGCTGCCAATGCTGTCACCAATCTGATGGTGTCCATCCTTGCAACTAGAGCAAAAACTTCTTGATAATCAATGCCAAACTCTTGCTTGTAACCCTTTGCCACTAAGCGAGCTTTGAATTTGTCAACCTCCCCATTTTCTTTGAGCTTTGTCTTGTAGATCCGCTTAACACCAATTGTCTTGTGCCTTTCTGGAACTGTCAACTCCCAAGTCTGATTCCTTTCAATAGAACCAATTTCTTTTGCCATGGCTTTTTTCCACTTTTCTTCTTTAACAGCTTCTTCATATGTTAATGGATCGCAATATGCAAATAAAGCAAAATGAGTAACTGGAACATCATCTTGAGGTAGATTTTTTACCTTATAATCCTTTAACCATGCTGGTCTTTTCTTTTTACGTTGAGGTCTTGAACTAGTTCCAGATTCCAGTTCTGGTGTTGTTGGCATACTTCCTCTAGTACTATGTTTTGCTGCAAGCAGACTTTCCTTTTCTGCCTTTCTTGAAGCCTTGAGGTATGCTGAAGTTAAACCTCCATTCTACTACATCTGACCTCCTGAGTTCCGCACAATTAAATCTTCACCATTTTTGAAATTTGTAGGAATCTGTTGCCCAGATTCTTCTGTCCAAGACTAGGTGCTTACTTCATCACACACTACATCACGGCTAATGATAACCTTCTTGGTTATAGGATTGTATAATTTGTAAGTTTTGGACTAATCACTCACACTAAGGAAAATACACTTTTCCCCTTTATCATTAAGCTTACTCTTTTTCTGATTCGGCACATGTACATATGCTATGCACCTAAAAACTCTGAAGTAGTCAACAACAGGTCTGCGTCCACTCCAAGCCTTTTTTGGCGTCATATTTCGAAGTGGAGATGTGGGACTTCTGTTCAAGATATGAACACTCTAATTAATAGCTTCTAGCCAAAACTCCTTAGGCAAGCCACTCTTTGACATCAAACTTCGCACTATATTCATGATTATGCGATTCCTTCTCTCACGTACACTATTTTCCTGAGGTGTATAAGCTATTGTAAGTTGCCTTTTAATACCATTAGACTTATAAAAAAACTGCAAATTCCTTTGAGTTAAATTCATCACCACAATTTGTATGCACAACCTTTACAGATCTGTCAGCCTCATTCTCAGCCAAGGCTTTGAGATTTTTAAAGGCTGTTAAGGCTTCTGACTTGGTCTGCAAAAAATACACCCATGTGTTATGACTATAAATGTCAACCAAGGTAATAAAGTATTGTTTACCTCCATTAGATGTTGGATTTATAGGTCCACATAGATCAAAATGAACCAGATCTAAGTAAAAGAACCATACCCTAAGCAATCTTATGAATGAACAAAGCTGCATCATGTGGATTGGAAGTAAAACCAAACTCACTCATAGTAGCACTACACTTTGCATACCAAGCTCGAGGGGATTGCTTCAACCCATATAATGCATGTCGTAAGTAGCATACCTTGTTTGGAGGATGGTTGAGCCTAAGAGGTGGTTTCATATAAACTTCTTCTTCTAGGTCACCATTAAGAAAAGCATTTTTCACATCCATCTGAAACAATTTCCATCTTCGTATAGCAGTGATAGCAAGCAAACTGCACACAGATGTGAGACAAGCAACTAGAGCAAATGTTTTTTCATAATCTATTCCATACTCCTTTGTAAAACCCTTGGCAACCAAACGTGCCTTATGATGCTCCATAGAACCATCAGATCATGTTTTGATCTTGAACACCCATTTACAGCCTATTAGAGACTTTTCAGCGGGGAGATCAACTAAATCCCATGTACAAGTGTTCTCAAGAGTTTGTAATTCATCTTGCATAGCTTGTTACCAGAGAGGGTTAGAAAAAGCCTCTTGATAGGATTGAGGCTCATGTAAAGAAGTAATAGCAGGAAAACAATGATAATCATGAAGGTAGCTGGGAGGGTTTCTTACCCAAGTAGGATGACTCGATGATGGGACAATAAGCTCATTTGTAGACTCAACAATATTAGATACAACATCAACAGGTAATACAGATGAGGAAGTAGAAGAAGATGAAATCCCAGCTAGCAATTTATAAGTTATTGTGCAGAACAAACAAGAGTAATATAGTGCAGAAAAATAAAAAGAAAGGGAAGAGAAAATCAAGCCGTGATTTATAGTGATTTCTCCAACCCGGAGTACGTTCACTCCCCAAGCCTCCTTGCTCGAGAGTTCAATCCACTAGAAATCTCTTGCTTACGGGTGCAAGATTAAACCGGAACAACCTCTTGCTTGCGGGTGCAAGATTAAACCGTCACAAGTGAATCTCAACTCACTCAACCCCTTCAAGGATTAACCCAATCCAAGAAGAATACAAAACCCTTGTAAGACAATATACCCAAAAGCTTACAAGAAGAAAAGAAGAAGGAAACCTAGAACAAAATCAAACTCAGTTTTCTGTAGTAGTCGTCCTTCTTCTCTCTGAATTTTTCAGATATGAATTTGATCATTTTAATAGAGATTTGGAGCCTTGCAATTAAAGTCCCTTCAAAGCCACCTCACAAAAGCTCCAATAAGGTTCCACCTTTTTCTTCTAACTTGTCTTGGAAAGTGCTAAGGCATTTAGATCCCCTATGACCCATTAAGAGTAAACAGATAGTTGAGCTGTCAAAATTAACTTTCCAGAATTTTTGCTTCGAAGCCAGAAATATTGCTTCGAAGCCAGAAATATTGCTTCAAACCATTTTCGGAAAACAAAAGTCCGAGATTGATTCGAACCAAAATAAATTGGTTCGAATCCAGAACTCTGAACAAGGAGGAACATGAATTAATTCTAATCGTGGGGAAAGATTAGAAACCTTGGATTAATTTTCCTGCACACTTAGCACAAAAATAGATTAAACTCTTTTGAATCATGGTTTAAAATCATCATCAAAATACAAAGAGAACCTAACAATCTCCCCCTTTTTGATGATGACAAAACCATGCCATAAAATAATAAAGATAATAAGTGTAAGCTCCCCCTCAAAATATGCTTCCAAGATTCAACAGAATTTGCATAAACAAGAAATAAGGATAATTTTCATTTTAAAGTTCCTCTCCCCCTTTTTGTCATTAGCAAAAAGAAATTTGCACTAGCACAAAGCATAGCATAGAGTTCAAAAACACAAATAAGCAGTACACAAAAGTCAGACATTGTAAGAGTACAAAACACTAAAATTATGATAAGCATTATAAACCAAAGTAAGCACAAAACATCATTATCATGAATATTTAACAATTTGCATGCATTTGACACAAAAAAAATTTGTGTCCCCTATCACATTGTTGACTTATACAAATCAAATTATGCTTGAGACCTTTTACATAATAAACTTTTTTTTTTTAAATTTTCCTTCAAGCTTCCTTGAAAACACAACTTAAGCACTAGATTTTGGTACCCAAACTTTCTTGGGTCCATTTAAGTTAGTCGAACAAGTAGAAATTTTCTTAGGAACCCACTTTAAATTCATCTTAAAGAAATTCTTTCTAGTATAGCACTGTTGAATATAATGTCCCCTTTTTAAACAATAATGACAAATAATACCATCATGAACATGATTATCTCTAGAACTTGATGCTTCTACTATGTCATAAGAATGCAAAGTATTACAACTCATAAAAACAGTAGATTTAGATGAGGAAGACTTGGATAATTCAAAAGAAGGTCCAGCTCTATTATGAGGAAATCTATGTGAACATAAATTGTTGTCTAACTTACCTTTGCCTTTCACAAAATTGTTCAAAGAACATTCAAGAGAGCTTATTTTCCTTTTTAATTCATCTACCAGCATATCATACTCTTCAATCAGCTTTTGTTTGCAATTTCTAAATGCAATTGTTGACTCTTCCAAGTTAATTTCCAAATTTTGACTAATTATCTTTTCCTCATTTAAAGATTCTTT